GGCCGCGCAGCGCCGCCCCCGCCTCCAGCCCGGGCGCTCGGGTCTCCGGGGTTCCGCGCCGGCGCCGGCTCGCGGCTGAGTGCCGGTTCTCCCTGCAGCCGCCCCTGGTCCAGGCCATCTTTAGCCGCGATGTGGAGGAAGTGCGCTCCCTCCTCTCGCAGAAGGAGAACATCAACGTGCTGGTGAGTCGGGCGCGGGGAGGATGGCGAGCCGGCTCGGCTCCGGGCTTCCGCACCCCTCCCCACCAGTGGGGCGGCTCCGCGTCCCTCTGCCCCGGCGAGGCCGCACTGACTCCCCGGGGCGGGAGCCTGCTCTGCGTTGGGGGCTGCACCGCAGGTCAGGCTTGGAGCACCGGCCAGGGGGGCTGGGGATGCCCAGAAACGGCGCTGTCTTGGGAACCGTGGGGGTCTGCAGCGCCCTCACCCCTCTCGGGAGAAGGAGAAGGTTTCTCGGCCCACGGCCCAGACTCCACCCTCCCAAGGTGCTTGTCTGTGACTCTCGGGACTGGGATTTAGGACGCTGCAGAGCCGGTGGAAGACCGTGGGGCAGGGCTGTGTCTCCGAGCCGCGAACGGGGGTCATGGGTGGTTCCTCCCCATAGCCGCTCCTGCTTTCTGCTTCCCCAGGACCAAGAGAGGCGAACCCCATTGCATGCTGCTGCCTACGTAGGCGACGTCCCCATCCTCCAGTTGCTACTGATGTCAGGTGAAAGTGGGGAGCAGGAAGGTGTGGCACCCGGGGAGGGGAGCAGAAGGGAGGAGTCTCTCTTTTGCTATCCAGGATTGATCTGTGGTGCTCGGTGCAGAGGAGGCTCCGGCTCTGGCCAGATTCCCCAGCCTGGTGACTGGTTTCCTTCCCTCCTTCCTCACCTCCCACCAAAATAGGACATTGTGTCCCACAGGTGCTAATGTCAACGCTAAGGACACACTGTGGCTGACCCCTCTTCATCGTGCTGCTGCCTCCCGAAATGAGGTACGGCGTCCCCACTCGCTTTCCTTTTCCAGAAAGGATGAGCTGAGGAAGGGTGGAGTTTAAGGGCTGGAAAGCCCCAGTTCGCTACCTGACTAGCTGTTCTACCCCAGGTAGGGAGGACACCAGGCTTTGGCTCCTCCCTTCCACCCTAGATCTGGCTGGTAAGGGGGCTGAGTGCTGCCAGCTGATGTGACGTCAGGGAGAGCTTAACACTGGGCTGGCAGACTGCGGGGGCCCTGCTGCCAGGCCTGAGTGACTCATCCCTGCCTGGGGGGCCACCTTGAGTCTGATCCCCCTCTGGGCACTGAGATTTCTTTCCTTGTGGTGGTGGACGGAGGTCATGATCTGCTCTACTCTTGCCCCTCAGCAGCGGGAGTATTGGCCGCAGGAGGGCCAGACATACCTCATAGGCGGGCGCCTGTACCCCAGGGTGGTCAGCCCTGCACAGAGGGAGAGGAGACCTCCCTTTGGCGTCTCCAGCACAGTCTTGGCTCCAGCCACCGGAGGGAGGGGCTGAGGCCAGTGGGGGTGAGGTGGGTGGTGGTGAGGAGGGGCACTTTAGCCTTGCTTTTGCGGAGGAACCACTGTGATTGCTGAGGCGACAGAAATGATTTTGATGCGAACGGAAGGGGTCAGGAGGGCGTTCAGGGCATTAGTGTAGCAGGAGCACTTACTTTTCCGGGAAGGCGCAGGGTTAGGGATGTGTGGCTCTGCCTGTGTAGGGTTGTTTGGGGTGGATGTCTGTGTGAGTGGCAGTCTCAGCGGCGAGGCTGGGGACAGATACCAGCAGGCTTGAGGAAGAGGAGAGGACCCTTGCTTTCCTCAGCAAGGTAAGGAAGGTTTTAAACTCTGAGGAGATGCAGAAGACGGGAGATCGGTGTGGAGCAGCTAGGTGTGTCGGGAAAGTCAGAGCGTGTGCTGGGTGGGATGGTGTCATTTTGTGCCGTCTGACCCGCTTCCTCCTGTTCTACCTCCTGCTCCCTGTCTGTCTTCTCTCCTGTCGCCTGCCCTTCCCCAGAAGGTGCTGGGACTGCTGCTGGCACATTCAGCAGATGTGAATGCCCGGGACAAGCTGTGGCAGACACCACTGCACGTGGCTGCTGCCAATCGGGCCACCAAGTGTGCCGAGGCTCTTGCACCCCTGTTGAGCAGCCTCAACGTTGCTGACAGGAGTGGGCGCAGTGCTCTGCACCATGCAGTGCATAGCGGGCATCTTGAGGTGAGGACCGCTCCAGCCCGCCCTCCCTGCTCGCATTTCTCTGCTTCTGGGGCGTGGGGCCTGGGGGAGAAGCAACCCAGACCATGAACACTTAGGCTCAAGTACCAGATGAATGGTTTCACAAGATTTTTTTTTTGCTGGTGATCAAACCCAGAATCACTTGAGTGTAATCCCAGCACTCAGGAGGCTGAGGCAGGAGGACGGCTGTGAGTTTGAGGCCAGCCTGGGCTACTAAGTGAGATCAAGGCCAACCCAAACTGTACAATGAGGGGCTGGGGATTTAGCTCAGCGGCAAAAGCGCCTGCCTGGCAAGCGCAAGGTCGTGAGTTCTGTTCCTGGTACCGGAGAAAAACCAAACTGTACAATGAAACCCTGTCTCAAAAAGACCAAGAAAAAAAAAAAAGACCCAAAAACAAAAAGCACCCAGAATCTTGTGGATACTAGACAAGCGCTCTACCATTGAGCTATATCGCCAGCCCCTAGGGGGATTTTTTTTTTTTTTTTTTTCTTTTTGGAGACAGGGTCTTGCTATGTACTACAAGATGGTCTTAAATTTACTATGTGGCCAAGGCTGGCCTCAAACTCTTGACAGTCCTCCTGAGCGATGGGATTACAGGCATGCACCACCACGCCCAGCATTAGGTTGAAATACTTGACTTGGACTTTAGGAAGTTGGGAAACCCTCCTAAGATGCATGGAAAATACTTACATATGTACCTTTTCTGAAGAGAGAGAGGCCCTGTCTTTCAGTACTTTTTTTTTTGAGTAGCAGGAATCAAACTCAGGACCTTGTGCTTGCCAGGCAGGCCCTTGTGCCGCTGAGCTGTATCTCTGGCCCCCATTTTCAACACATTTTTAAGTATTTGTATGAGTTTGAGAACCAGAAGAGTACCTGAAGAAACATCCTTCAGCTTCCCTCAAAATTCCAAATTTACTTGGTATCTTTTCCTTAGTGCCTGTTTCTCCTGTTTCCTCTAGTATTCCAGATTTTTCTCCTTATAAATAAAGGTATTAGGTTATCATCCCTAGCACTATGTGTTTCTTTTTTTTTTGGTACCGGGAATCGAACTCACGACCTCGCACTTGCCAGGCAGGTGCTGTGCCGCTGAGCCATATCCCTGGGCCCCCTAGCACTGTGAAAAAGCAAACAAAAAGGCACGAGGCTGCCTCCAGCGTTTTGGATGAGAGGTCTCTGCCCTTATGTAGATGGATGGATGAAACTGAGTCCGGCTTTTCTGTCCTGATACAGACGGTGAACTTGCTCCTCAACAAGGGAGCCAGCCTGAATGTCTGTGACAAAAAGGAGCGGCAGCCTCTGCACTGGGCAGCTTTTCTGGGTAAGAGACAGAGCACATTTGACCTTTAGGGTTCCTAGGGCAGGGATATGGGGTTGCCGCCTTTGGAGAGGGGAGCTCAGGGCCTTAGGGTTCACCGTCCACTTTTCTGAGAGTGTCCCCTTTTCCTAGGGCATCTGGAAGTCCTGAAACTGCTCGTGGCACGTGGTGCAGACCTCAGCTGTAAGGACCGCAAGGGCTACGGGCTGCTGCACACAGCCGCGGCCAGTGGCCAGATAGAAGTGGTGAAGTACCTGCTCCGCATGGGGGCCGAGGTCAGGGGCCGAGTGCCGGGGCTGGGGAGTGTGGCAGGGAACTGGAGGGTGGAGTCTGAGGGAGGTATAGGAAGATGCCGAGACCGTTGGTGTCACTGGGGGGGTTGGGCAGATGCGGAGAGGTCTGGACCAGGCTTACGTTATGTAACAGTTCCCTCATTCTTTTGGGTCAGAAACCTGGGGGGTGCTGAGACAGATTTCTGGGACTCTCGGCTCCATGTGCTGCTTCTGTGTTGTTTCGACTGATAAATCCCTTCCCCTCACCCCTGGAAATCCAGATTGATGAACCCAACGCTTTTGGAAACACAGCTTTGCACATCGCCTGCTACCTGGGCCAGGATGCTGTGGCTGTTGAGCTGGTGAACGCAGGAGCCAATGTCAACCAGCCGAATGACAAGGGCTTCACGCCCCTGCACGTGGCTGCAGTCTCCACCAATGGCGCTCTCTGCTTGGAGCTGTTGGTCAATAACGGGGCTGATGTCAACTACCAGGTGCCCGAAGGGATGAGGCTTAGCTCAGTGGGGAGAGGGACCTGGCTATGGGGGTCCTGATCACGTCCAGATAGCCCTCCTGGGGAGTTGTCCACCTGCCTCCTGGGGTGTGTAGATCTTGGCCGGGACTCAGGAGAATGTGGGCTGAAATGCCCACATATCCCCTCAGCCATTAGGAATGTGTCCCTTAAAAGTGGGATCGGCGCACTCTCTGAGCTTTATACTGAAAAAATCCTACCATGCTTCCACAGAGCAAAGAAGGGAAAAGTCCTCTGCACATGGCTGCCATTCACGGCCGTTTCACGCGCTCCCAGATTCTCATCCAGAACGGTACGGACTCAGAGATGGGGGCCTTCGTCTACTCCTCCCCCTGGAGCTCATCCCTGAGGTTCCCCTGCTTTCCTTCTTCCTCCTGCCCCATCTTCCAGGCAGGACGAGCACTTGCAACCTTGCCCTGCCCGCTCCCCTAAGGCTTCCAAACAAAACGTCCGTGTCAGATACCACGCACGTAAGAAGCCCTCGGCTGGTAACTAATGGTGCGAGTGGTCCCGAACACGAGCTTGTGTGTGTCCCCTCTCAGGTAGTGAGATCGATTGTGCCGACAAATTTGGGAACACACCCCTGCACGTGGCTGCTCGATACGGACACGAACTGCTCATCAGCACCCTCATGACCAATGGCGCGGATACTGCCCGGTAAGTCAGGGTCCCTGAGCCCTCTTCTAGGACGCCACAGATCTGCACGTCCGCTCACATCAGATACGAAGTTACAAGGGTGCTTACTGAATGGGAGCTTGGGGAGCCTCCTACCTGGCCCCTAGGATGGCGACAGGCCACGGGCACTGGTCTCTTCTTAACGCAAAGACTAAGCCCCTCCACCTCTCCCCAGGCGCGGTATCCATGACATGTTCCCCCTGCACTTAGCTGTTCTCTTTGGATTCTCCGACTGTTGCCGGAAGCTTCTGTCCTCAGGTATGTGCTGACTTGCTGGGGGTCGGCAGGTGTGCCCCGCCCCTCCCAGCCCAGCGCTCCGGCTGTGACCCGGGCTGGTCTGCCCCGCAGGTCAGCTGTACAGCATTGTGTCTTCGCTCAGCAACGAGCACGTGCTTTCGGCTGGGTTTGACATCAACACACCTGACAACCTTGGCCGCACCTGTCTTCACGCTGCTGCTTCTGGAGGGTGCGTTCTCCTTCCTTCTCTCTGGCCTTGCGAAGAGAGCTGGGCCAGGCCTGGGTCCCCACGCAGCGAGAGCAGGCTGTCCGCTTCTGGCCTCTGGGCCCGGCCCTGTGCCTGTGCGTGTGCCCGACAGCCCCTTGAGCTCTCGTGCCCCTTGGCTTCCTCTTAGGAACGTGGAGTGTCTTAATTTGCTGTTGAGCAGCGGAGCCGACCTGAGGAGGAGAGACAAGTTTGGAAGGTGAGTGAGTGTGGAGGGTGCGCGGGGCGCGTCTGACTGCAGAAAGTGGCGGGGGACCCAGTGTGGAGAAGGTCAGCCGCGGCGCACACGGCGGCTTTTGAGTCTGTCGGACTCTTTCACCCACTCTCCTTGCCCTGCTCCCCAGGACCCCACTGCACTACGCGGCCGCCAACGGGAGCTACCAGTGTGCGGTGACACTGGTGACTGCTGGGGCCGGCGTCAACGAGGCCGACTGTAAAGGCTGCTCTCCCCTGCACTACGCCGCCGCCTCCGACACCTACCGGAGGTGAGGCTCGCCTCTGCCCTGCTCACCCCGCACCCCTCGCCGAGCTGCCCCAACCTCTTCCCTCTGCCTCCCAGGGCGGAACCCCACACTGCTTCCAGCCACGATGCTGAAGAGGACGAGCCACTGAAGGAGTCCCGCAGGAAGGAGGCCTTCTTGTGAGTAGCAGGGCCGACCCCTGCGACAAGCCTTCCCGACAGCACCTCCCTCGCCGTTAGTCTCCCCTGCTCGAGTCTGCCACCTGCGGCTCCGTCATTCCACTGGCTGGCTCAGCAGCTGTGGCATCATAGGTGTGAGTGAAGACCAGAGCGTGAGGTGTATAGGCTGGGCATGGTGGTGCACACCTGTAATCCCAGCACTCGGGAGGCTGAGGCAGGAGGATCGTTGTGAGTTCGAGATCAGCCTGGGCTACAAAGTGAGCTCGAGGCCAGCCTGAATCGCATAGTGAGACTCTGTATAGTGAGACAAAAAAAACGAAGTATGAAATGTAGCTGCTCTCCTCAGCATGGGGCTTCTACAAAAGAGCAACAGCCAAATACACAGAACCATTTGCTTATTCCATGAACTTCAACTGAGTGTTTATTTACTAGGTTCAGAAAACACAGTATTTTACTGTGATTTTTTTCTATGCCAAAAATTGAGCCCAAGGCTTACCCCATGCTAGGCAAACCCTCTACGATTGAGTCCCTCTCCCGCCCTGAGGAGAGAAGATGAGTTACTCTGGGAGCGCAGCGGTAGAGCACGGCACCCTGGGTTCAGTCCCCAGCAGCAAAACAAAACGAAGTAAAACACCCCAAGCAAAAAAAGTGAATCACTCCAAATTTCCAGCCTTTAAAAACTAATCAACTATTGGGGAAATAATAAAAGGACTTTATACAGGACTTACTAATGCAAGAAAATCATGGGAAGACTAGGTGTGTGTATAGAAATTCTGCACTATATTCTTTTTTTTGTGTGTGTGTGTGGGGGGTTTTCCAGTACCAGGAATCAAACTCACAACCTTGTGCTTGCCAGGCAGGCGCTGTGCCGCTGAGCTAAATCCCCAGCCCCTCTGCACTATCTTCATAATTTTTTTTTTTTTTTTAAATTAATTTGGGTTCTCTGCATCAGTTTAGTTTAGTTTTTTAGTTTTTTTCCAGTACTGGGAATCAAACTCACGACCTTGCGCTTGCCAGGCAGGCGCTGTGCCGCTGAGCTAAATCCTCGGCCCCAATAGTTTTTTTTTAAACTGGGAATTGAACTCAGGAACTTGCACTTGCCAGGCAGGCGCTTGTGCGTGAGCCATAGCCTCAGCCCCATAATTGTTTTTTATAAATCTTACTACTCTAAAATAAAAACTGGAGGGCTGGGGATGTAGCTCAGCGGCACAGCACCTGCCTGGCAAGCGCAAGGTCCTGAGTTGAATTCCCGGTACCAAAAAAGAAAACAAACAAATACAGTAAAAACTGAGCCAGGCATGGTGGCACATGCCTGTAATCCCAGCACTTGGGAGGCTAAACCAGGAGGGTTGCCATGAGTTTGAGGCCAGCCTGAACTACATAGTGAGACCCTGTCTTAAAAACAAAGTAAAATAAAATAAAAATTTTATTTATGGAAAGGACACTATACTGGGTGTAATGATGCACTCCTGTAATCCCACCCTTTGGGAGGCTGAGGCAGGAGGATTATAAATTTGAGCTCAGCCTGGGCAATTTAGTGATTTAGTGAGTTCCAAGGTCCTGTGTCAAAAAAGGCCAGGCATGGTGGCATATGTCTGAAATCCCAGCACTTAGGAGGCTGAGGCAGGAGGATTATAAATTTGAGCTCAGCCTGGGCAATTTAGTGATTTAGTGAGTTCCAAGGTCCTGTGTCAAAAAAGGCCAGGCATGGTGGCATATGTCTGAAATCCCAGCACTTAGGAGGCTGAGGCAGGAGGATCACTATGAGTTTGAAGGCAGCCTACTACTTAGGCTACTTAGCAAGACGCTGTCTCAAAAAAAAAAAAAAAAAGATAAAAAGGGCTGGGGATGTGGGGATATAGCTCAGTGCTTAAGCCCTACGTTCACACACCACTCCCCCATAACACCTAAGGCTCAGAAGTTAGGTGTGTTGGTGTGAAGCTATAATCTCAGCACTCTAGGATGCTGAGGCAGGGGGATCTCAAGTTTGAGTGCCCCTGGGGGATTTTAGTGACTTAGTAAGATCCTGTGCCTATATAAAAAAGAGCTGGGGATGTACCTTACTGCAGAGATGCTGGGTTTAGTCCCCAGTACTGCAAAAACAAGAAAAGAAAGATGAAGCTTACCTCTGCCACCTTTGGCAAGTTACTTTTCTGTGCCTCAATTTCCTCAGTTATAGGAGAGTTAAAAATAGTTTTATTAATATTACAGCATCTACTAAGGTACAAGAAGTGTGTCAAGGAAGTGCAGAGGAGGAGGTCACTAGCTGGAGAGCAGAAGGCTTCACAGGAGAGGAGCTGGCTGTTTGCAGTGAGCTAGACTCCTTTAGAAGGGGCAGCAGGGAGGGCAGGCCTGCAAGGCCCAGGCCAAGCCAGTGTGCCTGGAGGAAAGGCCTGCACAGCAGCCCTGAAGGCCTGTAGCTGAGCTGTAGGTCCTCCAGGAGAGCATCCAGAGCGTAGAGGAAGGCATGGAAGGCAGTGGCCACGGCAGACCTTGGGAAGGTAGTGGAGTCAGAGCCGGGGTTGAAGAACGGACAGAGGGTGCCAGCAGGGCTCCCTTGCCCCTCTGTGCCCCTCTGTGCCCCTCCCAGCACTGTGCCCTGGGGGGCTGGGCCTGGGCCTGTCTCACCGTCCGCCTTCTGGCTCCCCAGCTGTCTGGAGTTCTTACTGGATAATGGTGCAGACCCCTCCCTGCGGGACAGGCAGGGCTACACAGCTGTGCACTATGCAGCCGCCTACGGCAACAGACAGAACCTCGAACTGGTACGTGCCGGGCGGCCTGGGGGAGGAGGCAGGGCCAGCGCCACGGGCTGCCTTTGGGTTTGTGGTTCTGAAACCAAGGAGGGTTCAGTAGGTCCAGAGCTTAGGGGGCTGCTGTGAGCAGGGGCAGGGGACAGTTCCCTTGGGAGTTTCTAAGTTTCAGCACCTCCTTTCCTGTCATTGCAGCTCTTAGAAATGTCCTTTAACTGCCTGGAGGATGTAGAGAGCACCATTCCAGTCAGCCCTTTGCACTTAGCTGTGAGTCCCACGCCGCCTCTGCCTTCCTCTCCCCGTCCTGCCCCGTCCCAGTGCCCACACGGGCATCATAGCGCTGGGGCCTCTGCCTTTGCTTCTTCCTCCCGCGGGCATTGGGCAGGTGGGCCTTGGCTGGGGAGGGGATGGGCCTTGCAGGAGAGAGGCCTGCGGGGTCCAAGGAGCTCATGGAGGAGCCAGGCCTGGGGCTGCCCCCTGGGTCCCAGCAGCAGAGTGGGGGTGGGAACGTCCCAGCTGTGTCCATCGGTTGTCTGCACCGCTGCAGGCCTACAACGGTCACTGTGAAGCCCTGAAGACACTGGCTGAGACGCTGGTGAATCTGGACGTCAGGGACCACAAGGGCCGGACTGCGCTCTTCCTGGCCACTGAGCGAGGCTCCACTGAGTGTGTGGAGGTCCTCACGGCCCACGGCGCCTCTGCCCTCGTCAAGGAGCGCAAGCGCAAGTGGACGCCCCTACACGCTGCTGGTTAGTGCCTCCCTGGGCATACCGAGCCTCCCCTGTCAGACTTGGGGCTGGGAGTGGGTAAGGACAGAGAGCAGGGAAACTTCAAGTCCCAATTGCTCGCTCCCTGCCTTGAAGCTTTCTTCTTCCGGCAGGCTGTTCCATAACCTTGACCCTCAAGTCCTTTAGCCTCAGCCTGGCCTCCCTCCCTGCATCCCGACACTGTCCTGACTCAGCTTCCTTTTCTCCTAGCTGCCTCTGGCCACACTGATTCCCTGCACTTGCTGATTGACAGTGGGGAGCGAGCTGACATCACAGATGTCATGGATGCCTATGGACAGTGAGTGGAGGGCCGGGATGGGTGCAGGGTTCCTGTCCTCGCTGGGCCGTCACCCTTCCTGTTGCGTCTGCAGAACCCCACTGATGCTGGCCATCATGAACGGCCATGTGGACTGTGTACATCTGCTGCTAGAGAAGGGATCCACGGCTGACGCTGCTGACCTCCGGGGCCGCACCGCCCTCCACCGCGGGGTGAGCGGGCTCACCGACGGCCCTCGGTGTGGGATCACAGGCTAGCGGGTGTCAGAGCTGGGCTGGGATTCTCTGCCTCGGATCTTACTGGGCCTTGCTGTGCTGCTCCAGGACGAGTGTGTGGCATCCCCGGCTGGTCTTCCCAGTTACCCTTTGTCATTACGTGCAACCAGCTTTTCAGCCCAGACTGTGTCCAAGATGCCCTGACGCTGTCCTGTTGATAGCGATGCTACCTCCCCTATCGCCTCCATAGTCACCTATCCTGAAGTGGCTCCACCGCCTGCTGCAGGGTTCTTTTCTCCTCCCTTTCCCTTCCCTTCCCGTTTTTTCTTTTTCTTTTCTTTTCTTTCTTTTTTTTTTTTTTTCAGTCTTTTTGAGATCAGGCTGGCTTTTGAACTCACTTTATAGGCCAGGCTGGCCTAGAACTCGCAGCGATCCTTCTGCATCAGCCTCCCGAGTGCTCCATTTTTTTTCTTTTCTTCTCTTTTCGTTTTCCTCCTCCTTTTTATGACAGGGTCTCACTATGTTGCCCAGGCTGGCCCTGTATTCCTAGGCTCAAGCAGTCCTCCTGCCTGAACCTCCTAGTTAGCTGGGGCAGCTGGTGAGATCCGCTTTCCCGTGGGATTCATTGGTCTTTGCATCTTCTCGTACTCCATTTGGTCTTTGGCTCCCGATCTCCAGGGTGAACTCTGGCCATCCTGACTACTGGATGAGACCAGGAAGCGGGTGTTGATCCCATACACGAGAATCATTGTAAATACAAGGGTTAGAGCACTGGAAGTGGTTCTTGCTCCTGGCCCAGTCCCCAGTGAGTGGCCTGTAGAAAGAGCGGCTCCTCATCCCGCTCCCGCCCGTGTTCCCTGCAGGCCGTGACTGGCTGTGAGGACTGCCTGGCTGCCCTGCTGGACCACGATGCGTTTGTGCTGTGCCGAGACTTTAAAGGCCGCACACCCATTCACCTGGCCTCAGCCTGTGGCCACACTGCAGTGCTGCGGACGCTGCTTCAGGCTGCCCTTTCCACAGACCCCCTGGACGCCGGGGTGGATTACAGCGGATACTCGCCCATGCACTGGGCCTCCTACACTGGTGCGCTGGGGCCTCCGGCAGGCGCAGGGTTGTGTGTGGGGTGGAGGAGAGAAAGATGGGCTGTGGGGGAAAATGTGGAAGTGGCTGGGAGGTTCAGAGCCAGGGCAGGACAGATGGAAGAAGCCTGTCATTTCTCCCATTGCCACGCATTCCTCCTTGTGCTCAGGACATGAAGATTGTCTGGAGTTGTTACTTGAACACAGCCCATTCTCATACCTGGAGGGAAACCCCTTCACTCCTTTGCACTGTGCAGTGTAAGTCTCTTGCTCTGCAGCAGCCCTGCCGTAGGCTGCTGTGACCTGGGCTTAGCATCCGTCTCCCCGGCCCCCGCTGACGGCCCCTCCTCTCCCCCAGAATTAATAACCAGGACAGCACCACAGAGATGCTGCTGGGAGCTCTGGGTGCCAAGATTGTGAACAGCCGAGACGCCAAAGGACGGTGAGTGATGAAAAGCTTGGGAGAAGCTGAGCTGCCTCTGGCCTCCTCTCTGCCCAAGCCAGAGCCTTCCCTAGTTCACTGTACCCTGACCCCCGCCCAGGACCCCCCTTCACGCCGCTGCCTTCGCGGACAACGTCTCTGGGCTCCGGATGCTGCTGCAGCATCAAGCCGAGGTGAACGCCACTGACCACACGGGCCGCACTGCGCTCATGACAGCGGCTGAGAATGGGCAGACGGCCGCTGTAGGTATGTGGGGGCCCCGGGAAGGGAGGAGCCCCGGGGCACTGCAGGAGGGCTCAGCGCCGCCTGGAGCATGGGGTTCAGGACACGGAGGTGTCTCTGGGTGTCTCACGGTGCAAAGTGTATGCAGGGAGGAGGGTGGACAGCCAGGATGGCTGCTCCTCTGCAGGGAGCGCCAACCCCTGTGTGCCGTTCCTCGCAGAGTTTCTGCTGTATCGAGGGAAGGCGGACCTGACTGTGCTGGATGAGAACAAGAACACTGCCCTCCACTTGGCGTGCAGCAAGGTACTTCTGGGGCGCGCGGCGGCCGCGTGAGGGGCGGGGGTCGCTGCAGGGTAGGTCCTGACTTGGAGAGGACGCGGCGGAAGTCAGGGCTTCTGGCCTACCGGCCTGCCTGCCGCCTTCCCCGCTCCGCCTGTGGCCTGTGGTGCCTCCGCCTCACGCGTGTCCACTGTCTGTTCCCCTCAGGGCCACGAGAAATGTGCCCTCATGATCCTGGCGGAAACCCAAGACCTTGGCCTTATCAATGCTACCAACAGTGCGCTGCAGATGTGAGTGCCCGGGAAGGGTCCTGGCTGGGGGAGGCAGGTGGGCGAAGAAAGCGGCCGCATTCCAGGGGCTCGGGGGCTCACCGCGTTCGCCCAGCACCCTCGCTGCCCTCTGGGGCGGTGAGGGAGTGCTGGCTTCCTGCTGACCCCGGTCCCCGTTTTTCTGTCCTCCAAGGCCACTCCACATTGCTGCCCGGAACGGTCTTGCTTCTGTGGTGCAGGCTCTACTCAGTCGTGGGGCCACAGTGCTCGCTGTGGACGAAGAAGGTGGGTGGGCCACAGCCCCCTCCTGCTCCCGGGTCTGGGTTCGGGACAGTCTTCAGGAGGTGGCTTGCTAACTTTGCTGTGAATGAGGTTTTCTTCCCAAGGGAGCTCTTCAGAGCAGGGCCCCAGCCTTAGTACTCTGAGTGTCAGAGGGGAGTCCCACCGAGCCAGCAGGGCACAGGAGGACCCCTCCCTACAGACCTCTGTCCCCTGCACCCCCCTTTCCCACATGAGCGTCTGCTTGTCAGACCCCTGGGCCCTCACCACCTTGACCTCTGACCATGCTAGGTGCTCACCTGCCGGGGCTCCCCTGCACAGAGAGCCAGGGCCCAGGGAGACGGCCCGTGTGTCAGCTCTTTCCCTCCCCCCGTAGGTCACACCCCAGCACTGGCCTGTGCCCCCAACAAAGATGTGGCAGACTGCCTGGCCTTGATCCTCTCCACCATGAAGCCTTTCCCACCCAAGGACGCCGTCAGCCCTTTCAGCTTCAGCCTGCTCAAGAACTGCGGCATCGCAGCCGCCAAGACGGTGGGTGGCTGCGGCGCCCTGCCCCACGGGGCCTCCTGCCCCTACAGCCAGGAGCGGCACGGCGCCATTGGGTTAGACGGCTGCTACTCTGAGTAGCCCCCTCCAGTGTCCCTCCCCTGCCGGTGGCTTGATATCTTACTCTATTTATTTAGAAAAAATCTAAACATTTAGGGCACTTTAAAGGAGAACACGACTGGGTGGTGGGGCGGCGGGGGGGAAGCACTGGGGAGCTGCTGCTCGCCCCTTTGCCACCCGTCCCAGCCTGGCAGGGTCTGGGACAGACAGGGAACACCCCAGGCCCTTAGCACCCCAGGGCAACCCCTTCCGCCGAGTGTCCCCAGATGACTGACAGATGCCTGGCTTTCCCTCTCTGACTCATCTCAGTTCCCCTTTCTGCTGCCAGCTCCCCAGTCCCTCTGACTGCCCTCCCGTGTCACCTCCTTTGCCCCCGCTGCCAGGCAGACCCTCCTCTTCCTCCATGCCCATCACTGCCTCCCTGCTCTGCCGGCCCCTCCATCCCTGCAGCAGTGAGAAGCCTTAATTTCTGGTACTGTGTGAGCACTCTGGGGGTGTTCCCCTCCCCCTTCAGGGGCAGCTAGAGGATGAGGGGGGAGGGCACTTAGCACTGGGGCCTGGAGCTTTCCCCCACTCTATACCCAATCACCGCTAAGGTTCCAATGCAAAACACTTGAAGCAGCGACTACTGTACCTAGGCCCCGCCCGCACTCCCCCCCCCTCATATGCAAATCAAGGGCTGGCTCCGCCCCCGCTGCCTGCCCCGCCCACCTCCGGCCCGGCCCCCCAACACGCACTTTAACCTTGCTTTTTTTCTTTCCACTTCTTTCGGGAGAGCAGAGCCTGTGGCATTCCCGCTCCGACTCGCTTCTCCCTAAGTTTTGAGGCTTGTCATGAATTTTTAAGTAAGCGTTTTATCCTTTAGTGGAAGAAACAAGTTAATTTCCTGCCCATTTCAAAACCATGGCCCTGGAGTGCCCGCCGTGTTTCAGGCATGTGCTGCTCGCATGCGTGTGGAGGGGGCCGTGCCCTCCCTCCCGTGCCCCCTCCCAGTCCCCCAGGTCCCCGTCTGCTTCCCCGCCCGTCGTGCCGAGAGTACCCACCGCCCCAGTCGCTCCTGAGCTGAAGCCAAAGATGGTGGGAGGGGCGGGGCAGACGGGCCGTGGCCGCTTCGGAGCCGGGCTCCGCGTGAGCAGGCGAGGCGGCTGCCAAGGAGAGGAGGGTGGAGCCGGGGCTGCACCGACAAGGTTCCTAGACGTTGCCCCCTGGAAGCCGCGCTGGGCCGAGTGAGAAGGGGCAGTTTTCCCTCTAAATGTAGCATTGCATCCGGCCCGCCCCTCGCACGCCCCGTCCCCTGTCCTGGGTCGCCTCCGCAGCTGGACCCGCCCCTGCAGCCCCGCGTCCCCTCCGCGCACTCGATACCTCAGCCAGGGCCGGGACAGAACTTGAACAGAGGCCCCGCCCCTGTACCCAGTGCGTCTTCGCCCAGTCTGGCTGCCGTCAGTATTGCCCCCCGAGAACTGGACAGACCCCGTTTACAGTCCAAGGGGTCTCCGGCCCGGCCGCCTCCCCGCCCGAGCTTGCTCTGTTCGGACCGCACCCAGTTTTCAGTTGCGCCCCTGAACGTCTTGCCGCCCTTGCCCTTGCCGTCCCAGGGCCGCCTCCTTCCCGCAGATGCCCTCTCCCACCTCGCGCTGCTAGCTGAAGCCGGGGGTGTTTGTCCGAGTCCTCGTTTTTTCAGTCCCTTCTTAGCCTCCGTCTGTGTCCTGCCTCCCCAGCTCAGATCCTAAACCATTTCAAGGCTTCCAAATGACCATTATTGGTGAGAAGGATTGTGCAGCTTTTAGTTTTTATTTTTGTGTTCAAAGCCAAAGGGCCTTGCAACGCCCCTCTTGCCCCCCCCCCCCGTACCTTGTCCTCCCCTATACGACAATCAATGTGACTTCTCAAGGGCTGCCGCCCCACGCCCACCCCGCTGGCTCTGCAGCGCTTGCCCGCCCCCACCTCCCCACTTCAGTTCTTCCTCCCGAAACCTCCCGTTCCACCCCTTCCCTCATTTTGGTGCTGGGAATTAGGTGGTAGGGGGCGCGGGGATCAGGGAGGCGGTTCCGGGGGGTGAGTCGGGGATCAGTCGTGTTCTCCTTTATCTGCTTAGCGACAGGAAGAATCTGCGTACTCGTCAGGAGCCCCGTTGTTTTGTTCTGCTAGATGAGATTCTGGTGGCTGTCGGTCCCCTGCTGCCCCGCAGCACACTGTCAGCAGTGCTGGGGAGCGGGGAGCCCTCTGTCCCTCCTCATGCGGCCGTGAGGAGGCCCGGGGGCCAGCAGCCTCCTCTCCTATGCCAAAGGAAATCCCGCACCCCGTCCCGGGCTCCCCAGCCCCTCGTGTTTTTGAAGCGTTCTGACCATTCTCATGGCCACTGCATATTTATTTTAATGTTAAGATTTTTTTTTAAACCTCTTTGACTTAAACGGGTGTGGAGAAGTAAAACAGGCAGAATGCCCCCCAATCTCGGGGTCGGGCGGGGGAGGAGGCGCCTCCTCCCCCTCCCCCCGCCCCTCTCCCACCGCAGCTCTAAAGCACTTGCTTCGAGAAATAAGCACTTTTGTGAAAAGGCCTGTTCGGAGTGGGGACCCGGGAGCAGCCCCAGGTCCCGGCGAAGGAGGCAGAGCGAGGGCGACATAGGAGACAGACTTGAGAGTCAGCGGGCGAGGCGGAGAGAGCCAGTTCTTAGTTTCTGATATTCGGGGGTGTTCCTGCTTGGGCGGCGGCTTCGGCGGGGTCGCGTACAAGCAAGTGGCGCACACTGTGGGTCCCAGGCCGGACCGCAGCCCCGGGGCACCCCGCCTCCCGGGGCGCTGAGCCATAGGACTGCTGGGAAGCACTGAATGTACGGCCCAGGTGGGGTGGCGCGGCCCGGGAGGGCTTCTCCTTTGTTTGGTGCTGTGGGGTGGGAGAGGTGGACGGGACCGCCGCCCACGCAGGCGCGCGCCCCTTGGGGTGGAGGGCTGAGGAGGGCCTGCCCCCTCCAGCCCCGGCCGGGGCCCCCCTTCCTCCCTCACCCCTATCCGTTTTGACTGTAAGTCCAGCTCACCTTTGCCTTCAATATGTAACCAAAGGAAAACTCAATACTGTTTCCACCGCTGTCTGCCCACCCGGCACCCGCTTCCTCCCTGGACCTGGAAGGGGACAAGAGGCTGGGGGTGGGCGGGCGGGGCCAGAGCGAACGGTTCTACAACTGTACCCCCAAGACCACCTCTGTGGGCTCGGAAGGGGCCTGGGAGGCGGGCGGGCGGGCCGGCGGCCGGGAGTAGGCGCACTCTGTATGGGACGCCCACGGCGCGCGAGCGTTTCCCTGTCGGAATGACCAGTGACGCTGCTCCAGCGGGGAGGCCCCTTCCTCCGTCCCTCTCAGCCATTCATCACCCTCTCCCCACACCCGGTGTCATTCCCCGCCTCCCTTCCCACCGCGAAGGAAAATAGCCTTACAGACCCTACCCCGAAACCCTGCTCCCGGGCGAACCTGTACGGCCCCTTCCCGCCAAGGTGGAACCCTACCTGTTGAAAAGGAGGGACAAGGAGCAAAGCAGCCCCTTCCCCTCTCATTGTGGTGGCTCCGGCCCTCCGTGGCCTTGGCCCAGGCTGGGCGAGGGCGGAGGTGAGGAATCTTTGAGGACCAAGCCCAGAGGTCTGGGAGGAGGGAGGCAGAGAGGGACGGGTCTGACTTGGGACTCCCTCCTCCCCGACCCAAGCCCTAGAGACCCAACCCCTAGAGAAGCGACCAAATCCCAGAGATGGGCGGGAGCTGGGGTGGGGAGGGTCTGCTCTTTGAATTACTTGAAGGTACTGATTCTGAGGCTGCTGTTGCCCACATAGGTGTGAGGGGGACACTGTCACTGCATTTGGGAGGGTGGAGGGTGACAGGAGGACTGTCCTCGGCCCTCGCTCGCTCCTGCTAGGCCCTTTCTCTGGGCAGTCTGCAAGCCTGACTGCCCCAGAGAGGGTGGGGAGAGCCTTCCCCCCCGTCTCCGTCCTCACCCTGGGCACCCTCTCCAATTGCACTAAAGTAGCTGTTGTGCCAGTCTTACCCCATGCCAGGGTGGGGTCTCTGCTTCCAGTCTCTCCCCGCCTCCGCTCCCCCCCCCAGACAATCTCCTTGTTCCACTCGTATTCCTGGATAGCTCAGCTTTGTGTGTGTGTGTTTGGGGGGTGGGGTGGGTTTGGCAGGGGTTCGGGAAGGGCTGGGGGAAAGGTGGAGGGCGATGTCCTCTACCCCCTTCCTCGACCCTAAGCCACAGAAGCCTGGGAGGGAGAGCGCCTCCTCCCGCGCCGCGTGTCTTGCAGATGTGCCAAAATGGGGAGGGTGGGAAGGGGGTGCCTGGCAGAGCAGCCCCCAGGGCGGCTCTCTCAAAGCAATACTGCTCCCCTGCCAGGGGACGGCAAGACAGGGGAGAGGGTTGGGCTGGGGACCTGGGGGTTCCCGTGTACAGCTGTGTATATTCAGGGGTGTTCTCTGTCTGGTACCCACTGTGGGCATCTATGTGTGTGTGAACCTCCCCTTCCCCATGCCCTGCATGACCTGTGATGCTGCAGACACCACCGTCCTGTGTGCAGGTGTGCCGGGCGCGGGGGCATGTCTCATGTCCTGCTGCGCCCCGCACCCTGTGACCATGTACTCGGCTGTAGGAAGTAAAGAGAACTGAGCACAATTCACTGGATTCTAGTTGAATCTTTCTCTAAGCAATTTGCCCGTTCCTGCCCTCCCCCGCCCTGGATCCCCCTGTGGTGCTAGAGTTGGGGTCGGGGGTGTTTCATGCTGGTGGGCAGCAATAAAGGGCAGATGTGCCCAGATGCCTGCATCCCCGGGGTGCTGAGGGCAATAGGAAAAAGTGGGGACCTCGGTGCATTTGTCCCACCCCTCCTCTCCTCCCTGGGCTAAAGCACAACGCTCTCCCTGAAGATGGACGCACCCTGCCCCCTCCAGGCCCCTACTCTTGTCCTCCCCCAACCTGCTTTGAGCCCTCCCACCACACCCCGGTTTTCTATGCTGTTTTGGTGCGAGTACAACTGTCGTAGTCATGGCTTTGGGATGGGTTCTGTTTATTAAAATCCTATTGCTCCTACTGGCCCTGTGTCCCGCCTCCATTCCTGTGGTTGGGGGGAAGGAAGGGCACTCTGGACCCCTTGCCGCTGGCCCCCCTCAGCCATCAGAGACCAGGGGCAACAGCTGCTCCTCCAGCAGGGCTATGGTGAGCATGAGGCCGCCCCCCAGCAGCAGCCCCAGCCCTTGCAGTAGCACATGGAGCACAGGGAGGGGCTCGGGAGGACGAAGCAGGGCTGGTAGCTGAAAGAAAAGAGGAATATTGAGATTCTGGCCTTGCCTCCCACCTCTTTTTTTTTTTTTTTTTTCCTTTTTTATTGGTACTGGGAATCGAACTCAGGACCTTGCGCTTGCCAGGCAGGCGCTTGTGCCACTGAGCTACATCCCTGGCCCACCTCCGACCTCTTAACCCGAGAAGGCAGTGCCGAGTCAGCCCCAGCCACACCCTTTGGTCCCATGTCAGACTCGGGTGGGCCTGGGGGCCAGCACCATCCAGGCCCTGGCAGTGGCTGTGTAGGGGCTGGTACTTCCTCCCCTGCAGACCACCCGTCCACCGCCCCTTCCCACCCCACTCACCATGTCCACGAGGGCCACGTAGAGGAAGACCCCAGCAGTGATGCCAAACACCCAGGGGGTGAGGGGCACGGGGCCCACGCTGAGCCCTACCCCGAGGGCTGCACCCCCCAGCCCCAAGGCTCCGGACACGAGGCTCAGCAACAGCAGCTTCTGGAAGGACAGGCCTGCCTGGAGCAGCATCGCAAAGTCACCTGTTGGGGACAGGACAGGTAGGATAGGAGGGAAGAAGCCGGGGCTGCCCTTCACCCTGCTACCCACCAGCCTCCAAAGCTGTGCCCCGGGAGGTCTCCTTCCGAGAGCCCACCCCGCGTGTGCCACTCCTACCCAGCTCGTGGGGCAGCTCGTGGCAGAAGACTGCCAGGGTGGTGCTGAGGCCACTGGAGAAGCCGTCGGAGAAGGCAGCGCCTGCGGTCCGTGGCGGGAGGCTCAGCGCAGAAGTCTCCGTCAGGCCGGCCCTGCACGCGCTCGCCTCCCACCTTCCGGCAGCCTTCCTGCCCCCATGCACGCCAGGAGCCGGGGCCCCGCCCCTGGGGCCGGCCCCTGCCGCCCCTGCCGCCCACCCCGCGCACCTATGGCCAGCCCGTCAGTGAGGTTGTGCAGACCGTCTCCCAGGAGGACCATCCACGTGGTGCTGGCACTGCTGCCACCCCGGTCCCCGTGACTGTGGCCTGGGTGCCCAGGAGGGGCTGGTGGCGGGGGCGACTGGCTGCTCTGTTCCCTCTGGCTGCGAGCCCCTGGCTCTGCAGGAAGAACAAGGACCGGCATTGGGAGCTGCGGGCGAGGACTGTGGGCCGGCACCGAATCCTCTCTCTCCTGTCACCTGGAGCTGCCTGCAGGGGCCGAAGGGCCATCCCGGCGCTGTCTTCGGGGTCTGGGTTCGGTGTTCTGAGTGCCCTTCTCTTTCGTCCGCAGCATCTCTGAAATAGGAGGGGATCCCTCCTGGTGGGGGAGGCAGCAGAGCCCAGGGCTGAGGGGAGGCCAGGCCACCAGCTGGGAAAATGAGCACCTGGCCCCACCTCTGGCACCGTGCGTGTCCCTCGGCCGCCACCCTGTCCCCAGCCTGGCACCGCCCTCTGTCTCTTGTTGACTTGCACTTGGGAGAGGAACCAGACGTCCAGGGTTATGCTAGGGTGCCCCTACCCACGGCGTCAGAGGACAGGTCCCACAGCAAACGTCAGGCGCAGGAGCGCACGCTGCCCTCACTCCTGGCTCGTTTGCCCGCTCTTGGCTAGGACTCTGGTCTCGGCAGCGGAGGAGAAAAGGGTGTCACTTACTGGCCGGAGCCCTCTGTGCCCGCAAAGCCCTAGCATGTTCTCCAGCAGGAAGAGCAGGAGGAGGCCTCCAAGTACCGACAGCCCTGGACCCAGATCCTCCTCGGGTCGCCCGCTAGGTCCCGTGTGCTGCCTTCCTTGTGCCTGGCAGAGAAGAGGCAGGGTAGACCCCGAAAGCCCCCACACCCAGCAGCACCCCTCCCGCCGGAGCCGTCGCTGGCCTCCACTCCTGTGCTGTGCTGGGAGGCAGCTCTGGGCCAAAGCCTGAGGCGGGGGAGTAGGATATGGGGGGCAGCAGGAACGGGAGTGGACGGCCTGCGCTCGGAGCAGGCTGGATCCCCGAGGCCAGCCGCTGGCGCCCCGGGGCGCGCCCAAGGAGGGGCTTCACGTACATGTGGCAGCAGGTGGAGCAGCGCATCCCCGCAAAGAGTGCCCACGGCCAGGGCCCCCAGGAAGCCCAGCAGGGGCTGCAGCAGACGAGGTCCCAGGAGGCGCAGCAGCAGCAGGGAGAGGGGGGCAGGGAGGCTGAGCAGCAGGACTGCCAGGGCGCTGTGAAGCAGGGCTGGGGAGAGCAGGGCTGCAGTTAGGCCAGGGCTGGGCCCAGCGGCGCGGTGGGGCCCCAGTGGGCCCCCTTCCTTGACACGGGGCCCACCCCTAGCCGGCCTCGGGCGCTCCCACCCTGCTGTCACCCACTGACCAGGCAGTAGGTCTCCTGGAGGGGCTGGGGCTGGAACTTGGGTGCAGACACGGCTGTCGATCTGGTAAAGCAGCGCAGGGCACAGCAGAGCGAACTGTCGCGGGGTCAGCGGAGCAGCGGGGCTCAGGCCAAAATTGACCAGCAGCTGGGAGCCATTTAGACACTGGGGAGTTGAGCAGTGGGTCACGCATGAGGGAGTCCCCGGGAACTGTGACACAGACCTGTCCGCCTGTCCTCCTGCTGCACGGACTCCTCCGATTCCCCCGCGCCCCCTTGCTCACACTGGTAGGTCCGTCAGGGACAGGAGACAGGGTACTTGCAATCACTGTGCCTTAGTGACTACTGAATGCTCAGTCCACTGCAAATATCTAACTCAGTGCAAATTGGTGCCAGTGAGCACTGCCATCCGCTTCCCTCCCCGCCCTAGTAATCTGGCTGGTTTGGGGACGGAATTGGTTGAAAATCAGAGCCCTCCATACCAGAATTCTGGAAGGGGAAGGAAATGCCTGAAACATTGTCTAACCTCCCTCTCAACGGCTCTGTCAGGTGTTCATCCAGCCTTGGCCACTTTGTTTTGTTTTTTCTCTGTCTCCATCTCTCCCCTGCCTCCCTTTCTGTGTGTGTGTGTGTGTGTGTGTGTGTGTGTGTGTGTTTTGTTTTGTCTCTTTGAGACAGGGTCTCACAGTGCAGTTCAGGCTGGCCTTGAGCTCACTTTGTAGCCCAGGCTGGTCTCGAACTTCCAACAATCCTCCTGGCTCAGCCTCCCAAGTGCTGGCATCACAGGCATGAGCCACCACGCCCAGCTCAATGTGTGTGTATTTTAAAATACAGTCTATCCGTTGTCCAGACTGGCCCCTAACTACAGATCCTCCTTCGGCCTCTAAGCGGTTTGGTCTAAACCACTGCTGCAATGGGCACCAGTCTCTGCTCGCATGCTTCCCGCAGTGGGGCACTCACTGGGCTTGTTCAGGGTTAGGTTCCGCTGCCCACCCTCTTGTGTACATGAACAGTGGTGCAGGTGGACCGTCTCCCTAGATAAATCAGCCATTCATACCTTGCAGGTCTCCTCCACAAAATCAAGCCCAGATCCTACCCTGGGCTACTTCTCTGGATTCTCTGCTTTGCCAGATGTGGCTCCTAACCTCGGCTCACCTGCTCTGAATTCACTAGTGAAAAACATACCCTAAAGCTACACTGGGATTTTTGTTTTGTTTTGTTTTGTTTTTCAGATAAGATCTTGCTAAGTTATTCAGTTATCCAGATTAATCTTTTGGGGGGGTATTGTTTTGCTTTTTGACACAGAATCTCACTGTGTAGTTCAGGCTGGCCTTAAACTCACTACAAAGGCCAGGCTGGCCTCAAATTTGTGGCAATCCTCCCGCCTCAGCCTCCCAAATGTTGGGATTATAGGCTTGCACCACCAAGCCTGGTTTGGGATTTTAAATCTCTATGACTCTTAGCATTTCAGACTCACATCCTCATTCAGGTGGTCAGCCAACGAATGGTCCAGCAACAGAAGCCTGTGAAAGAGGTCCAGGCCCGAGGGGGCTGGCCCCTGGGGTAGGTGGGGAGATTTTGACTCTTCCAGGTCACTCCACCCAGAGGGTCCCAGAGGCATCCCTGCCCAGACATCCACACTCAGCTCGGGGTCCTGCAGCCTGAAAAGGACAGGATGACAAGTGAGATTCACTCCTGGCTCCACACACCTGCTGGAGAAGTTAGTTTCCTGGGAGCTTAGTGGGCAGTAGGACAAGCCACTGGCTAGAGTTCCTGGGTCCCAGAAACCTGCACGTCATGCCTGGAAGATCTGCGTGCAGTTAGTTACAGGAGGACCTAGGAATGGGGGCGGCAGGCGGAGGGGAAAGGCCAAAAAATGCTCCAAACTGGGAGCAAAGGTGGCCTGGAGACTTTGGACGCTGGACAGAGAGGAAGGGATTTAAGGGCCTGGGGGTTTGGAGGAGGAGAGGCTTAGAAGACAGCAGAGGCAGGAAGGTCCCTGAGGAGTTGGTTCTGAAGAATCGTAATTCAGCTTGTGTTTAAGAAACCACAGTGGGGAGCCAGGCATGGTGGCCCATGCCTGTAATCCCAGCACTTGTGAGGCTGAGGCAGGAGGATCACTGCGAGTTTGAGGCCAGCCTGGGCTACAAAGTGAGCTCAAGGCCAGCCTGAACTGCATAGCGAGACCCTGTCTCAAAAAGCCAACAAAAAAGAAACCACAGCAGGCATCTGATCGAGCAGAGCTGGGGACACAGCCTGGGTGGAGAGGCCAGGGTTTACCTGTGTGTGAGGTTGTCTCCAGGTGGGGGTGCTGCACGGCCAGTTGGAGGCCCATGGTGTCCGTGTCCCAGGCGAATTCCCTGAACCCGGCCCAGCCCCAGGCTGTGCAGAAGCCGGGCCAGGCCTGTTGCGGTCAGCGTCCCGTTCTCCCCGTACAGGCCGAACAGCTGGGCCAGGTAATGGTTCTGCTCCTGCTCCGCAGGGCCCAGGTTGGGGACTGAGCCCCCTGCCCAGCCCAAGACCACCCCAACGCACAGGCTGGCCAGCAGATGCCGCGCCGGGGGCCCCATCCTGGGGGACGAGAGGTGAGAGGCTTCGGTCCCGGCTTCTATTCCTCCCGGAACATCCTGAGGCCTGGGCCCGCAAGAACAGGAGGAGTGGGTCAGGGCCACTGCTGCTGTCCAGCCGGGACGGGAACCTTCAGTCCTTGCACCTGCTCCCGCCCGCATGCAGCAGCCGCCTCTGCTTGGCCTCTGGCCTCCCCCACTGCTCCTCTGGTGCAGCCTCTTGTTTGCCAGTCCTTGAGCACCTTCCGGACCCAGAGCCTGCCGGAGCTGACCGTCCATCCTTGGTCTCCCAGGCTCCGCCCCTTCACCTTCCCCCATCTCTCCATCCCCTGTTTCCCAGGCCTCACCCTTCCTGGCAACATGAGAGTTGTTACCTCAGGTCCCCAGCAGGCCTCGCTGTGGACGTGGAAAGGCTCCTGAGTCGGGGAGGGGAACACGGCTAAGCTTCCAGGTGCAGTGGAGGCCACGTCAGAGCACTGAGGGCAGGCTCCCCTCCTAGCCCACCTGCCTGGGGCAGGGCCAGGGGTGGGGCCAGTGTGGGAAGGTTCCTAGCTGGAGGAGTTAATGGTTCACTGGCCTCTAGGGTAGGGGTCAAGGGTCAGTGTGTGCTGGGTCCCCAAGCAGGGAAGGGTCACCCTCTGCCTTGAGAGACACGTGGCTAAGAGCCTGTGCCCGGTTTTTTCACTCAATTTATTTCTAGCCCAGTGGGGGTGGTAGTGCAGGCCTGTAATCCCTCGGAGGGTGAGGCAGACGGATTCAATGTGAGTTTGAGGCCAGCCTGGACTACATAGTGGATTCTTTTCTTTTGTTGTTTTTTGGTGTTTTTTTTTTCCGGTACCGCGGATCAAACTCACGACCTCGCGCTTGCCAGGCAGGCGCTGTGCCGCTGAGCTAAATCCCCAGCCCCATGTTTTTTGGTCTTTTTGAGGCAGGGTCTCGCTATGCCGTTCAGGCTGGCCTTGAGCTCACTTTGTAGCCCAGGCTGGCCTCGAACTCACAGTGATCCTCCTGCCTCAGCCTCCCCAGCGCTGGGATTACATGCATGGTCCACCACGCCCAGCTACATAGTGAACTAAAGCACAGTCCAAACTACACAGCAAAACCTTGTTTAAAAAAAAAAATAATAATAATTTTAAAAGACCCAGAAAATTCTCTCTAGCCCTAACTCAGCACCCCTTTCCTGTATGTACCCCTACCACACATACCTTACCCTTGGTACCGAGC